GCAACTAGAAGGATGTGCAACTATGACATACAACTATCTACTGGGGCTTTGGGGAGAAAAAGGGGAAAAAAAAAAGGAGGAGGATTGGCAATAGATTTTAGCTGAGGGCATGCCTTCCTCAGCAAAAAAAAAAAAAAAAGAGGAGGATTGGCATGGATGTTAACTCAGGGCTGATATTCCTCACAAAAAAAAAAAAGAAAGAAAGAAAGAAATATCTTTATGGATATGTACTGCTACCCACCCTGAGTCCCAGATATTCTATCTTCAGGGATTTATTCCTTTGGGTTGAGCCAGATATGGCAAATACATGGCACATATCCTACCACTCCCCATTCTTATGCTATTGGCAGATATTGCTAAATTATAACACAACTCTTTTTTGGTAGGGCCTCAGAATCCTTCTCAACACAGTGCTCCAGACATCCACTACCAGTAGGTCCCCAACTGAAGTCTTATTCTCTAAAAATATCCTTTGTTAAACTGCAAAGATCCCAGGCTGGACAACAGGTTAGATCACTGGAAGCTGGGGGTAGATTTATTAAGCAAATGCTTTCTTCAAGACAGGAGAAGCAAAAAAGACTTGGGATACTCAGGGAAGGAGGGGTGCAGAAGGGTGGGAGGAGCAGACACCACAGAAAGGAAGGAAAGGCAAGGGAGGAACCATCATCTGAGTTCTGGACACAAAGATTACTAGCTCTAAGACAAAGGCTGGTGAAGCCATGGAAGAGGCCCTGCTGAAGGCCGAGCCCTTTGGGATGTGCCCTCTTGCTGGTTTCTGTCTCTGACAGAGTACCATGATATAATAAACTCCTCTCACGTGGGGGTTACCCAGACTGTCAGATATGAACAGCCTACGTGAGTCTAGACTAGAGAAGAAACATCATGATTAGTTTCCAATCTTCAGGTATGTTGCTTGGCATGCCCCTTTCAGTAACACAAAAGTAAGGGTGTAGATGAGAAGGCTGTAGAATGGAAAGAGGGTTTCCAGTCCCTGGGTGGAAGGCTAAGCACTTTCTCTCGATTACAGACCATTGGGCAGCATTTCTGAGAATTTGTGTTGCCAGGTGGTTGAATGATGAAATCTAGGCCAGCTACTTAAATTATCTCCCGTGCCTCCAGCTAGGCTGTTCTGCATGCCCCTGGGCAATTGCCCAAATGCCCACTAGGAGTTCTATTGCCAGATGTTGATGCAAATAAGGCCATAATGATACAGGCAACAGGAATGGACCAAACCTAGCATGATCAGTCCATCAAATGCCTTTTCAAATGGAATATATTTAGAGGCTCAGGTCATTTAACCATTCAAACATTTTAATTGCAAATGAAACCAAAGATCAACATTTTCTTGGGGAAAGCAACATGTGTGGCTTTACACGATTAAGTCTTCCTGAGAGGGGAGGAACTCGTGACTTGCATGCACACCTGTGTGTTCTTATGCATATGATGTTTCCATGAGTATCAAAATCAAACAATAAGAATCCTTCTTACTTGAAAATTAAAGATGGTTAAACCCCTGTTAACCCAAGATAAAGGCAGCCTAACAGAACAGAATGCTTCTTCTGGAATATCCCTCAGAGTCTTGAATGACAAGTCTAAGTTGATTTTCTCTACACAATTCTTACCTGCCGACATAAGCAAGGCTAGCAGCAGCCAACACGGTGAGTCCTTTCTTCTTCGATAGATAGTAATGTGGCCTGAGGATGACTTCAGCCAATGAGAAGGGCAATATGGACGTGTGCTGTAGGAGAAAAGATGACAAATCATAATGTCAGAGTGCCCTGGCACTCTGGCACAGTGTCCCTAATTCTCTCTTCTCCCTTCAATTTACTTTTTTACACAACTTCCAGATGAAACTTTCCAAAACTTGGCTTAGATCATGCTCCTTAGACGCCCAAGGACCTGCAGTGGCTCCCCATTGCCGATCATACTGGTTTAAACTCCTTTGTCTGGCTACCAAGGCTCTGGTAATGTGCTGTCACCCTCTCTGGTCCTGCTTATTGCCCGCTGCTCCCCTCTCCTAACACACACATTCACACGCGCGTGCACACACCTGCACTCGCACACATACACACTCCTCCACTAGAACAAGGCTGTTTCCTTCATTCTCCTTTGCACTCAGTGTGCTTGCTCCCAGCCTCACGCTTTTGTTCTCGCCTCAACTCTCTATGTGGACTGTGTCTTCTCTCCCTGTGTTCATATCGTCCATGTTCTTTGCAGCCAACACAATCTTCCATGATGCTGTCTTGGAATTTTCCCCTTGCTAATTTCTCTCACTCAATTCTACTGCATTTATATTCTGTGCCATGTAGTCTAGCACTTATGATGTGTATTCATAAGCTCAGGGGGCCAGAAAACACATCTTAGCCCGTTTCTGCATTCCCCATTGCACTTGGCACTGTGTAACTGTCCTGTTGACGGATGGATAGTAGCATGGAGTGTGTGTGAGCCTCCATCTGAAACCCTCCATGGCCCCCCCTTCCTTCCCTGCTTCACCGGCTCCTTCATAACCATCTGTCTTCTCATATCTTTCAAACACTTAACACCAGATTTTTTTTAAGTGACATAATCAAGGAAGCAAGCCTTTAGGAATAGTGGTGTTGTCAGGTGCTATTGAGGTCTGCTCCCCTCTAGGTTATGGGAATTGATCTGGGAAAGGTGACATGAGTCTGTGTGCAATGTCATTTCATTTATTAAATACATTTATTAAGCCCCTCTGCCGTACTTTGTGCTTATCGGCAACATCTAATAGTCTTCATATTTTATATTTTTTACATTTACAGCTATCATTTCTCTTCCATCCCTGCTCCCCAATTTCCTTAGTTCTTGGCAGCCTCTTGCATCCATAGCCTCCACCTAAGAGCTCCAACCCATTCCCTTTCCTGAGCCCCAAGGCGGCTGTGTCAGAACCTCAGTTACAATAGTCACCGGGGCTCAGGAATGTCACATTGCCCGGGTCACCATGCTCCCATGCCCAGCTATGCTGCTGGAGCCTGGGTGCTGGCTCTGGGTGGCCTTTGCTCTCAGTCATGTCAGTCTCCTGCTCAGAGGCATCCCCAGGAGGCAGTAGCTACCTCCTACCCTACCTGAGCTATAAGGTACAGTCAGGAGATCAAGACCCTCAGATGACAAGAAATGTGACAAGTTTTGGTAGGGGAGGCATGGGAAGAGAAGGAACAAGTCTTGAGTATAGGGCATTACTGGGCAGAGAGGGCCTCCTGGGGGCCATCAAGGCTGCAGGAGGGTGGCACAGAGCAATTCGGCCTCTTAAAGGCCCCAGGTGCCCACATTTTAGTAGCAAAGCCTAGAGGAACAGCATTGTGGACAAACCGTAACTTTTATAGACTTTGTCCAAGGTTGGTCCTGAACGTATGACTGGTTGGATATGCAAATGGAGAGACTTCTAGGCCCACTATCATACCTTGCCTCTTTCTTTGGTCTGATTTTAGGCTACAGTTTCAGTGTCTCTCCCTCCAATAAAGGAGCATGGTGCTTAAGGGCACACACTTTCGAATCTGACCTTGGACTAGTTACTGAACCTGTCTGAACTTCAGCTTCCTCGGCTATAAAATGGGACAATAAATAGTACACAAGTCATAGGGTTGCTGCTCTGAGGATTGGGATAAGTACATGTAAAGGGCTTAGTCCTAGTCCCATGAAAGCTTCCAGGGAGCATTAGCTGCGATTGTCACTGTTATCATTGTGATTGTTGTCCTTCATTTCCTTGGTGGCCCAGTGTGGAGTGCGGTGAGGTGAGATTCTGGGATGTCCACAGCACCAGGCACTCGGATGCACCCTGGCCTGTGGCCTGTAGGAGGCTGTGGCATGAAGCAGCTGGAGTGTGGTAGCAGAGCCATCCCCATGGCCACCCCTGGCTCCCTCCTCAGCCCACAGCTGTGCCTACACTCTCAACCATGGCCGCCTCAGAGCCCTGGCACAGCGCTGTGACTGACATCAATGCTCTTTTCACCCAGAGGCTACCTCAGGGGGCAAGAGATGGGGCTGTCTGCCCAGCACAGCCACCTGCCTCTCCACCTGCATTCACTCTGCCACAGCCAGGAAGATCCAACTTCTATTAGGAACCATTAACAGTCCCATTATACTGGCCATTGATCTGACAGATTTTATTAACCCTGCCCACGGTCAGCAGCTTCCGTTCTCTACATTAATGATCATTTGGAACAGAATTCCTGTGGAATAATGTAGTGCGTTTGCATTAGGAGCAAAAGAGTTCGCAGTGATTAATGCTTTTACAACAAATAACTCAGGAATGCATGACTGGTCACCTCTTCTAGGAGTCTGCCCTTTGCAAGTGACATTCATTGGATTTCCAAATGAATTCTCCCTGATGGCACTACTTCAGTGATGTCATTAGTGATGGGCCATATACTGTGGCTTAATACCAGCTAAAAGGTCTTTAAAAGAATCACATTTTTTGGTGAAGGCTTGGAGTAGGAATGAGGGAAGGAGGAAGACCACATTCTGTGAGCTTTCTAAATATTGAGCTACTGTGAAGAGCCAAGCGTGACATAGGAAACCTCTTGGTATTTCAAATGTATTGGTATTTCACCTCACGTTGATATAAGTTATATAACCTCTGTCAGGCAGCACATATTTTAAAAAAAAAAAAAAGGAAAAAAATTCAGTAAGAGAAAAGTCAAATATGCTCTCTGCTTCCGAAAAATCTAATAATTAGGCTGGGATTGACACAAATTAGAATGCTGCCAAAAATTACTAAAAACAGTGACTCATTCTGTATTTCAATTAACAGTTTCTCAGTTTCCCTTATAAACAGTGAAGCTGACAAAAATTAATTACCTCAGAGAGGGTAAAATATTTCCTTCCAAAGTAAACAAAACATCATGGACTGAAACAATAGTATATATAAACAGAGGGGATGGAATGAAGCTATCTTTCCTTGTCAATGAAGCCACCATTTTAGTAAATTTTCCTTTAAATATCTCAGTCTGAAAGCATTGGTTAAAAGAACAGTGTTATTCTTTTTCCATCCTTTTCTACTAAATTACACCTTTTCCTCCTGTCCTTGGTGTAATGCCTATTTCCATCTGAATATCTTGGAGACAGAATTATAAGCATGAAATATTCATTTAAGTTTTAGTATAATAATTGCACTTGTGATTCCCTGGCTGCAAAATAGCCTTATAGATAAGTACTCAAATTTACCAGCCCGTAGAGAATTCTTACAAGGTTACATCAGTGGCAACAAGGAAAATAATGAGAACTTATTTTTACTTGCCTCCTACTAGCAGAGGAGTAGCTGTTATAAACAGCTTCCCTGTGTATGAGGTTCAACTTACAGTGGGATGCATTTGCCTGACTCTTGGGAAAGAGGCAAGCCTTAACCACTGAGATGACCCATGGAGACAAGTTCTTCATCGTTGTCATGCAGGATCCAAAGACTGAATCCATAAAGCTAGGATGGTCACATTCTTATCTCTCAGATTCCTGAGGGGCCAAAAGCACTTAATTTTTTCCAGTGAAAGAAATTCAGGGAGGCTATACATTTTAAAAATCAGATAATAACATTTTAAAATATGATCTTTGCTGCTTTCTTCTAGTACATTTCCTCGTTGGACTAGCTCTTGTGTTGACTTGAGTTGAGTTGACCAAGATAAACAAGCCAGCTTCCACCTTCTCAGACTGGTCATTGAGACTTTCTCCTTCAAATGTACTTACTGATTAATGAGCTTACATAATACTGCCCCCTTCACATTTGCCTCAATCTTCTCCTCTCTTCCTCTGTTCAGGCCACACTTGGATCTGAGAATTAATTCCTTACATTGGCTCTTCCCAAACTGAGGTCCTTTCCCCCAAGTCTCTAAGATAATGTCTTTGTTTTGTTTATGGTGCTAATGGGTAGATATTTTGAAATGAAGTTTTATTGCACTGACAAGATCTCATTTCTGGTTACATTAAGGAGGATATTTTTGTTTACTATATATTAAATATATCACTTTTTGAATTATTTAAAAAATGGAAACCTTTACAAAATCTCCTCAGGGGCAAACACATGGTCAAAACATCGATTAAAACTTAAATGTAAATACAACAGTCATGAAAACAGAGGCAAAACAACCTTAATAGAGTACCATTATACCCAGGCTTGTTATTACACTACTGGATCATGTTCCTTAAGATTAAAAACTGCATGCAGTAAAAACACGCAGTAATAGTTGTTTTGTAAATCCTAGTAAAGCAATCTCTGGTTTTGATAATACCATCCATTTGCCAGCTAAAAGCCTTTACCTCGCTCATCACCAACTTCCCCCACTGCCGTTCCTACCTCTAACTCCTACAGTTTAGGACAACGGTGATGGTCTTTCTGGGAATATTTTGCATCCAAAAACAGAGACCATCTGTTTTCTCCATGGCCCGTAAGTTGTTAAAAGTGCAATTTAGCTTTAAGTCAATCTGATATACAGAAATCCAGAAATGTAGACAGAGGTTACATTGCTCATATATCTAGGGGACAACTTCTCTATTTTAACTCTTCCACCTACACTACCTGCAGGAGCATTTTCAGTCTTAAATACTGGAGTCTAGAAGATAATTGGATTTGTAAAAATTCCTTTTTCCACTTTCTAGGAACTCAAGCATACCGGCTAGGCACCACTGTAATTAAAGAGTCAATGTTCAAATGCCTGGGGAGGAAGAATTGGGAAGATAAACCACCTACAGAAAGAGCCACAGGCTTCTCTTTGATCTCCACTGTCTACCTAG